GCGAGTCTCGGGCCCAACCAGAACGGCAACGGCGCGACGATACCGCCGCCCGTGTTAGCGCTTCCCACGCCCATAGGGCTGACCACCGGCTCGGCGGCCGCCCTCAGCATCGCTTCCAATCCCATGCTACCAGTATTGGCGGCCACGGCGCCCGGTGTGATCACGGGGGTCACCCCTAACATACCGCAACCGATGGTTATACCGCCGCCGCAGTTGGTGACGACGTTGCCGCTGAGTCTGCACCACAACCCCGAGTTGGCGGCGCCCTCCAAGTTCCTATCGACGCCGCCCGTGACGGTCGCCAACAATAGTAATAATACTAATAGCGTCGGTGCTGTGGCTACCGGTGCGATGGGAACGGCGGCGGCCGCTCTGGCGGCCAAAGAGTTGGAGCTGAAGCTGTCGGAGGCGAACAGTAATGTGGATGAGTCGCAGACACTGCAGCAACAGGAGAACATTGTCATCAAGGGATCCAATGCGCGACAGATGCTGATGCATAAGCTCATGAGGAAGAATGAGGTGAGTGTACGGCTCTAGGGTGGGGGTGGGGGTCGAGTTGAATGACTATTGATATGAGAGTGCAATTGCGTTGAGAATTAAACAGTGGTTAAGTCATTGGGATTAATAGGTCTGCAGTGGTTTTTAGTGATAATCAGAGGGTTTGGTATTAAATGATTAAAATCGAAACTAATTGTTGACTAATTGATTGCTGTTTCCGGCGACAGTCGAGGGTTATTGTGTTGAGGAATATGATTGGCATCGAAGACCTGGACGACGAGTTGGAACAGGAGGTGACCGAAGAGTGCGGCAAATTTGGTTTCGTGAACCGAGTCATCATTTATCAGGAGAGACAGTCCGAGGAGGACGACGCCGACATCGTTGTTAAGATATTCGTCGAGTTTAGCCAACAGTCCGGTTAGTGGATTGGCTTACAGTCTCGTGTTAATGATCTCTCTCTCTCTCTCTCTAAATTGTATTAAAGTTTAATTAATAATTAAACCAATGTTTGTCTCGAATGCAGAAGCGATTAAAGGCAGGGATGCCCTAAACGGCCGGTTCTTCGGCGGACGTACAGTGAAGGCCGAACTCTACGATCAAATCCTATACGAAGACAACGACTTAAGCGGCTGATGACTACTCTATGTGTGAATTGTCTGTCGAAAATCATTCACTCATTTGTTGTTTGCGTTTTTGTCATTCAACGCAATACTCATAATTAGCGATCAATTATATTTTTAACTCCCATTTTCACGCCAATCAAACCCTCCCCTCCCCTCCGCTCTCGTTATTTTGGCGACAATTTTAATTTAATTATTAAACCGACACTTAATTATTAATTTTGTAAATTATATATAAATATATTTCGCACTCATTTGAAACGAGAATTGAGTAAAAAATAAATAAAAATAAATTGTAAAAAATTATACGAAACCCACACCGACTTGCACACCAATACCGGTAGGCCTTCTCGGACACCAACGCCTGAAACCAATCATCAGTTAATTTTAAACCAATATTTTCAGAGAAAAACAACACAAACAGCCATCGATTCATTGAAATCAATACAATTTATTCAATAATAATCTTCGCATACAATCAGCAAAAAACACACAAAATACTGATACAAAAGAGTCGTCTGTAAGACACCGCGATAACCACCGGCGCCCCACCGCTACTCCCTCTGCATCAGCTTCTGTCGCGCCATCTTCTTCTTCGAGAGCTTCTTCTTCGGCGACTCGTCATCAGCAGCGCCCGCAACGCCAGCCTTGGCCACCACCTGCTCCTTCTCGGACAGTATCACCTCTATATGGCACGGGCTGGACATGTATGGGTTGATGCGGCCGTGCGCTCTGTACGTGCGGCGCCTCATCTTCGGCGCCCGATTCACTTGGATGTGCTCAATGACCAGCCGATCGACGTCCAGACCCTTGTAGTCGGCGTTGGACTCGGCATTCCTCAGCAGTTGCAGCAGAAACTCCGCGGACTTCTCGGGCCACCGGCCCTGAGTGGTGCCCGAGAAGGCCTTCACCTGCGCCTTACGGCCCACACCGCCGTTGAAGCGCCGGAAGGGCACCACCTCTTTCTTGCCGATCACGTTCTTAAGGTATCGCTGGGCCCTCCGGAGGGCCATCTTCTTGATCGCCTGAGCCGTCTCCCGGGTGTTCTTGAAGTGCACCCTTAGGTTAGAGCCCCGGGCTTTGCACGACTTCGTGGGGTTGTCCGGGTCTGTCGAGTATCGGCCCATCGTATAGATACTGGTGTTGTGTTGGGATCAGTTGCGGTGATAGTGACTGACACACGCGAGTGGTGTTTGCAAAGCGTGTTGTGGTTTGTGAGACACAACCGGAAAGGGATAGCGATTGCTGTTTGTGTCGAGACTTCCCATTGTGTGGGCCATACATACATGACGTGCGAATGATAGGCAACTGTGTTGTGTGAGTGCGGGAGGTTTCGGTGGCTGTTACGGCTGTTTGATCAGTTAATTGGGTTATAATTAATTAGATTTAATTGTGATTAATTTAATGCGATTGTATTCGGGTCAAATGTTTTATTTTTATGCTTTCCCGTTAAGTGTTTGCGTTTCCCATAAATAGCACCACATTTGTGGGCAGCACTAATGCATTGGGGGATCGTTTGCGTATAGCATAGAGTTTGTAAAAAACTTTTGCCCACTCAACCAAACTACCTGAATAACCTCCTAAAATCAACCCAGTAGGTTTATATTGTTGATAATAGTAGTTATTGAATGTTGACTGGATCAAGTGACCAAATGATTGGGCCCAGCGGTAGTTTTCGCCATATAATACCCGTTTGAAACATGCTGTCCGATGGCCGCGCCGTCTGAGAGCACAGTCCCCACGCATTGCATAGCATTGAAAATAGTGAAACACTTTTGACGCCAAAAATACGACACAATATCTGCAGACATAACTGTCGGTTACGTAGGCGCCTAGTCAATTAGCCACTGTTACAGATGCCTTGCCCACTAGCGCAACTATCTGTACCTGACGAAGATGCACGTCACGCTCGTCGCGGATGTCGGAGACAGGTGGGGCCAACCGTGCGCTGTCGCCCAATACAACAACTGGAAAGGTATGGCAATCATCACCACTGAGCTGATCCCATACACACCCCTTCACCACCACCTAATCACTCACGTCTTGTCTCTCTCACGCGTGTCTTAGGCGGCATACTCATAGCCGTGAACTACGAGGCCAGGGATGGCGGCGTTAAGCGGTATATGAGGGGCTCGGAGGCGACGGCCGTGTGTCCCGATCTACACGTGTTTGCCGTACCGGAAGTCCGGGGGAAAGCAGACCTCACGCGCTATCGGGACGCCTCCCAAGAGGTGTTTAATGCCATCCAAGAGTCGGTCCAATCGCTGACCGCCGCCGCGGACATCATCGTCGAGAAGGCGTCGGTGGACGAGGCGTTCGTTGACCTGACGGCGCACGTGAACCACACGCTCGACCAGTTAGAGCCACCGGCTGTGCCTACCGGCGCTCAACTCCCGGACACGTACCTCGAGTTGGCCCCGCGGGACGACCCCACGGCCGGCGGCAACGATTTGGGCCAATGGTTGGACGAGTTGCGCGACGACAACGGGTTCCTGCGCTCCGATGATATACGGCTGGCGTTGGCGGCACTGGTAGTCCAGCGGATACGCGCGCACATCGCCGATAAGACACAGTTCCGGTGCTCTGCGGGCA